GTGTCCCTCAGTGTCCCCGGTGTCCCTCAGTGTCCCCCCGTGTCCCCCCATGTCCCCCGGGGCTCACAGCTCCTGTCCCCCCGTGTCCCTCCGTGTCACTCCGTGTCACTCCCGGTGTCCCCGGGGCTCACAGCTCCTGTCCCCGCGTGTCCTCCCCTGTCCCTTCGATGTCCCCCGATGTCCCCCTGTGTTCCCCCCGTATCCTCCCGTGTCCTCCCGCTGTCCCCGATGTCCCCGGGGCTCACAGCTCGTGTCCCCCGGTGTCCCCCCATGTCCCCCGATGTCCCCGGGGCTCACAGCTCGTGTCCCCCGGTGTCCCCCCGTGTCCCCCGCGGTGTCCCCGGGGCTCACGGCTCCAGGGGTGACACTGTCCCCCCGCAGGGGTGACACTGTGGGAGATGATGACGTTCGGGGCCGAGCCGTACGCCGGGATCCGCCTGGCCGAGGTTCCCGATCTGCTGGAGAAGGGCGAGCGGCTCTCGCAGCCGCAGATCTGCACCATCGACGTCTACATGGTGATGGTGAAATGTGCGTGGGGCCACACGTGTCCCCAAAGCTGTCCCCAGTCCTGGACAAGGTCCTGCTGCTGTCCCCAGACATGTCCCCAGTCCTGGACAGGGTCCCCAGAGCTGTCCCCAGAGCTGGGCAGGGTCCCCAGAGATGTCCCCAGAGCTGGGCGAGGTCCTGCTGCTGTCCCCAGAGATGTCCCCACAGCACGCTGGGGTCCCCAGAATTGTCCCCAGAGCTGGACGAGGTCCTGCTGCTGTCCCCAGAGCTGTCCCCAGTCCCAGGAGGATTCCATTCCCGTCCCCACCCCTGGACAAGTTCCTGTTGCTGTCCCCAGAGCTGTCCCCGTTCCCTGGAGGGTCCTGCCCCTGTCCCTGCCCCTGTCCCTGCCCCTGCCCCTGTCCCCATCCCTGTCCCCAGCCCTGTCCCCAGCCCTGTCCCCATTCCTGCTCCTGTCCCCATCCCCAGGGTGGCTCCTGGCCATGTCCCTGTCCTTGGGGCCGGCTCCTGTCCCTGTGTCCATCCCGGTCCCCATCCCTGTCCCCGT